CAAGAAATGTTGATAAATGCAATCAAACCTAAGTTAAGAAGGTCTCTAAGTTATTTGTTCAATTTCTGTAAAAGGTTAAGACACACTATCAAAAACAGAAACACACACATACACACTATATATCCATATGCATATGCATATATATTATTTTGCTTAAGCCCTTCACCTTCTTTCATCATAAATACAGAAAACAGTGTGGTGATAGCCCAAGGGAAAAAAGGGTGGGGTGGGTGGAGGTGGGCAAAGGGGGGTAATGGAGACAGAAAGGGACTTTGATTTGGGCAATGGGTGCATGATGCTGTGTGCAGATAATGTTTTGTTGAGTTGTACACTTCGAACCCATATGGTTTTGTAAACCAATGTCACTCCAATAAATTCAATTTAAAAATTAAATGTTATTAGTGAAACATTAACAAAACAGAAACACTTGGAAGACTTATAAAGACAGAAAAAAATACACTAATAGCATAAATAGCTAACATTTTTCAAACTCTTACCAAATCCTAGGCACTGTTTGAAGTATTATATAAACATTACCCCATTAAATTCTCCAGTATCTATGAACTAGTAGATAGGATATAAGGACCTATAAGTTACTAGTGTTATTTCCATCATTTAATTAAGAAAATCAAGGTTATAAGATGTTAAGCAACTTGCCTTAGATAACAGAAATTAAGTAATAGACTGAGATTTGAACCCAGAGTTCTTGTGCATTTCTTTGATGAGAAATAAACATGCATAAACAATAAGTTATTTACATCAGGGGTCAGCAAAGGATGAGAGTAAATAGACTGTGGGTCACTTAGTCTCTGCTGCATGTTTTTTAAAGTAACATTTTAAAAATGTAAAACCAGTCTAAGCTTTCAGGACATAAATAAATAGGCTGCAGCCTTGATTTAAACAATAACAAGGGTAAGAACATTTACGTGGTTGCGATCAATAAACAGCATATAAACTCATGGGGGGGGAGAGAGATCCCCAAGACCGATCAGAGTAATTGCCTCTGGACCTAAGGTTTGGAAAGACAAGTCATCAATAACTGTAAAAATTGGAGACAGAAATAGGAAGGGTGATTAGACAATGACTCATAGGCACTGTCAGTTTGCCTGAAGAACACAGCTCTGTCATCAACTTAGAAAAAAACACTATGCCAGACACAGAGAGAGAAAATTCATCTTCCAGTCTTGGACTAGAATTTTTTCCAGGGACCCTTTCAGCTCAACATGTCTTTGTTTAGAGACACCGGTAGTGCCAACAAAAAGAGAAACTTAAATACCCAATGACGAAATCCTCCTGGACCTTTGCTTAGAACCAAGGTGGAGTTCCAAAGACTGGATTTACCTTCCAACCTGATGCAGCCAACCAAACAAAAACAAACAAAATATATAAAGTAAGAATTATAAATACACTGGATATGTAAGAAAAAATAAAAAAGACTACTGATCTGTGAGAGATGGAAAACAAAGAAGGCAAGCTCCATAATTGCCCAGCTTACCATGTTCACAGAGTTTGCAAGCCACACACAGGGAAGGGGAACTGAGGAGGATACTGGAAAATGCCTGAATTGAGAAAGACAAAGGCAGCAAGAGTTCAGAGAATTCAAAAGAGACATGAGCTGTTCCGGGAGAGATCTGCAGAGGGTCTTCCATGAGTAATCAGTAAGGTACAGATCAGAGCATCAGTGTGAGGGAACTACCAGAGGGATTGGAGAAAGAACCATACAAAAGGAATAAAGGAAACTATACTCAGTGTTCACACAGGGCAGAGAACAGTGCCCTTCCCAACAGCAAGGCTGGAAAAGATCATAGTGTATGTAGCATTGGACAGAACATTGAATGGCTTTTTGCTAAGATCAAGAACAAAATAATAATGTACATTCTCGCCACTTTTATTAACATTGAGCTGAAGGTTCTAGTCAATGAAAACAGGCAAAGAAAAGAAATTCAAAGCATCCAGATTGGAAAGAAGTGTTTTTATTAATAGACGTGATTATATATGTGAAAAATCCAAGGAATCCACAAAAATATTACTGGAAGAAATAAGTGAGTTTAGCATGGTTTCAGAATACTAAGTTAATATTTAAAATTCTATTGCAACTTTATATGCTAGCAATAGGAATTAAAATTACAAACAATAACAGCATTTATAGTAGCATTGAAAATATGAAATATGTGATAATCTAGCAAAATATGTGAAACATCTATACAGAGAAAATTACAAAAGTGCTCAGACAAATCAAAGAATACCCACATAAATGGAGATTCCTTGTTCAAATCAATATTTTTGAGATTTAAATATTCCCCAAAATGACCTATAGATTGAATCCAATTACATTCACATTTTCAAAAGCAGGCTAATTCAAAAATTAACATGGAAATACAAGGACATAGATAAGTTAAAACAAGTTTGAAAAAAAAAGTTAAAGGACTACCACTGTTATTTCAAGATATATTATACAACTACAGTATTCAAAATAGCACGGTAGAGTACAAATATTCAAATAGATCAATGGAACAGAACAGAGTCCAGAAATAGACCGATGCCTGTATGGATAGCTGGTTGCTGACAGAGTGCAAAGGCAATGCAGTGGAGAACAAATGGTCTTTTCAGCAAATAATTGAATATCCATAAGCAAAAAAACACACCACAAAACAACTTCACTATATAACTCTCAACGCAAATAAGTCATAGATTTCTATGTAAAACATGAAACTATAAACTTTCTAGAAGAAAATATGAGAACATCTCTGTGACCTTAAGTTAAGCAACAGACTTTTAGAAACAATAGAAACATGAACAGGGACTTTATCAAAATTTAAAACTTCTGCTTTTCTACGTACACTGTTCAGAGAACAACAAAAAAAACAAGTCATAAACTGAAAAAAATTATCAAAACAATATCTGATAAAGATCTTTTAGCCAGGGTACAAAGAGCTTTCAAAACTCAGTAAGAAAACAAGTAATTCAAATAAAAATTCTCAAAAAATTTGTAGGTGACTTTACCCAAAAAAATACACAAATAGTAAATAAGCACATAAGAAGATGCTCAAAATCCTTTTTCATTTAGGAAATGCAAATTAGAACTACAGTGATATACCACCGCAAACCTATCAGAATGGTTAAGATTAAAAGACTGACATACCAAGGACCCCATGACGAGGTGGAACTGGCACATTCCTGCACTGCTGGCAGGAACGTAAAGCGGTACAAGCTTGGAAAACAGTGTGGCCGCTTCTTAAGTAGCTAAACATACACCTACTGAATGATCCAGACATTACACTCCTAAATATTTACTCGAGAGAAACTCTATGCTCATATAAAAACTCGTACACAAATGTTCACAGTAGCTTTATTTGTAGTAGTTCTTTGCAAGAACCTGAATGGTATCCACGGGTAAATGAACAAATGGTGGTCTATGCACACAGGAGAGTAATACTCAGCATCCCAAAGGAAGGAAAACGTGGTACAAATGGGGCAGATGAATCTCAAAATGATGCTAAGTGAAAGAAGCTAGACAAAGAGTAAAAAGAAAAAAGGCATACTGTATGATTTCATTCCTATAAAGGGCCACAAGATGCAAGCTGAAAGCGGGCCGGTAGTGTCTGGGGAGGAGCGTGATGTAGGGTTAGGAGATGATGGATGCGCCTCCCGTCCTGATTGTGGTGGTGACTTCAAGGGAACATGTTTTACTATGTGAAAACTTATTGATTGTGCGCTTTATATACGTTCAGTTTATTACAAATCTGTTAATAAAAGAAAAAGCTCTTGTCTGGCCGGGCATGGCTCAGCAGTTGAGCATCGACCTAGGATCCAGGAGATTGGGGTTCGATTCCCGGTCAGGGCACATGCCTGGGTTGCGGGCTCGATCCCCAGTCGGGGGCGTGCCGATCAATGACTCTCTCATCATTGAGGTTTCTTTCTCTCTCCCTTCCTCTCTCTGAAATCAATAAAGATATATTAAAGATGTATATATATCTCGTCTTCCTAGGGATGATGAAGCTGTGGGTTTGTTTTTTAATAAGATTGGTGATAGAGTATGTGCAACAAGTGGAAAGGCTAACCTGTGAAGGAAGGTAGAAAGTAGTAAAAGCACTGAAAGTAGAAGAAATATTTCTAATTCCATTTGTTTCTATTCAGCGATATTTCCATACCTGGCTCAGTTTGTTCTAGAACTGAGTGTCATTAGTTTTTGGTCCTGTATGTTTCTGCATTGTAGCACAATACTACAGAATTGAGAAGAGGCCATCAATAAAAGGTATATACTTCAGTGAAAAAACAACAATTATTTTTTTCCCTGGGGAATCCATCCCATGAGTCTAAGAAATACTGTTTGGGAGAATTAACGGTATTAATCTGCCCTTTGGTAGAGAAAAGGTGAAGAAATAACTGATTCAGGAACTTATACTTAATTGTAGACTAGTTCACGGAAGAGACCATCCAATTTCTAATTACTTCCTGGGACATCCCAACTGCCCCAAAATGTGAGGATGTGGTGTGTGTGTGTGTGTGTGTGTGTAAGTGGGAGAGTCTGGAGAGAGATCATGATTTTAAAGACCAACACGTGGTAGCTTTTAACGCTGTGAACGTGGGTATCTTGATTGCAGCACGACCCTGCCCCTTCTCCGTTTCCTCACGCGCAGTTTCCCACGCATGCTTCCCCTTTGTTGCCCTGTCTGCAGTTGGGCAACAACCTGTTCTATCTTCTCTGCAGTTTTAGGAGGGGGGGAGATGGCACTGAGGTAGACAGCGTTCCCAAGGCTTGGGGAGGAGCAAAATTCTAAAATAAAAAAAGGAAGAGGGACCGAAGGGTGGCTGGGAGGCTTTGGACAAGCTCAGTGAAAGAATGTAGACAGAGACAGAATCAAACTTTTGATATAAAGATGTCAGGCAGCTGGAGCCCCATTTTCTGCTAAGGAGCTTACAGTCAGCTAACACCTAATCTCAGGGCTCTCACAGTTTGCACCCAAGTGAGGAAAAATAGCTTAAATTCCAGAAGTGAATTCAAAGACGGGCTCCTCCTCTTCTTCCAGAGCCTTCAAATTCACTGTGCTCTCAACAGAGTCGCTTCCTTCTGACATATACTGTATGCAGTTAAAATGCAGTTTTCAGCAAAAACAGCTCCCTTTTGTATATATGCACAGGTACCTGAAGGATACTTCTGGGAAATAGCTCCCTGGAGTCTAAACCTGTAGGTGGGAGGGAAAAAGGAAAGTAGATTACTGCCACCTTGTGTCAGGAATCTAGCCTTGTCTCAAAGTTTCAAATCAGTAATAACTGAAAAGGAAACCCCAGAGAAGGGCAGGTCCCTCTGTAAGAGCTGTGGGGAAGGACACTCAGAAATCCCCCAAGCTTCTTTCTGGCAAGAAGAGCACGTTGTGTGGAACACTGCAGTAACCTCACTCACAGGTTCAGCAAAAACAGGACACTTACACGTGAGGCTTCAAAGGAGAGCCATCCTCCCAGAGCCACGAGTAGCTTGGTTTCCTTTGAGACAGCCCCGTCCAGAATGGGAAATTGGAATGGGCACTTGCTTGCTTGATGAATTCCTGTGGGGAGCAACATTTTCGAGTTGATGTTGGAGTCAGTGTGGTTTTACAGATTCACAAAACTAAAGAATCAAAAGAGATCTTTGACACCCTCTCGATGGTTTCACAGAAATGTTTACTGAAGCCTAGAGATGCTCTATAACCTGTCCATCAAAGGTCATGCAGGGAATTCGTGCTGTGGCTAGGCTTGGCTCATAAACAGGTATTCTGCCTCTCAAACAAGGGTTCCTCCGCCCAGGGCCTAAACCTGATTTATTTCCCTCTAAGCCAGCACACCAGCCCAACACACATCCATAAAAACTCACCAGATCATTAGTGTTATTAATTTTCAGCATCTGGGCATCCAAAGACAAGCAGTTCTCCTGGCTTTTTTCCCAATTAAATGAGCTAGAGGAAAATAGGTAACAATTTTCTCCGTGCCAGAGCCAGTCTTGGGGACAAGGACCTAGAAAGTGTGGAATATCTAATCAGTGAGTTATGCCTGAGTAAAAATATTTCTATAATTTAAAAAAAAATTTTTTCCTTTAATTCTTAAATCAAGTCTCCCCTCAGAATTCTCACATGTATACCATTTTTTTCAAATTAGAATTATATTCAGGCTCTGCAAATACCTCGCTTTTTGGAGTAAAAGAAAAAGCATTCTGATTTTAGTAAACTAAATTAGAAAGCAAGGATGTTAAAAAAAAACAAGGCTTGTGCCCTGGCTGGTATGGCGCAAAAAAAAGCAAGGCTTGGGCTAGGATGTAATTTCAGAATCTGCTCTAAGTTTGGAATAAGGGAAGTGAGAGTTGGGGAAATTACTTAATAGCTATTCTGCTATTAAAAATGTCTACTCGAATAATGGATTTAGGTTTAAATACCATACCTCCTCACTTAAGACAGTGTTGTATGTGTAGAAGCCCATATATGGCTCTCGTGTACTTGAATTGTGGCTAGTCCGCATTAAGATGTGCTACAAGTGTAAAGCACATGCATGATTTTGAAAATTTATATGAAAAAAGAATGTAAAATATCACATTAATAATTTTTATACTGACTAGTGTTAAAAAAACTTATTTCAAATATTTTGGGTTAAATAAAAAGTTACTAAAATTAATTTTATCTGTTTCTTTTTAATTTTTAAGTGTGGTTACTATAATATTTAATGTTCCATATGTGGCACACACTCTATTTCTTTTGAATAAAGATGTTCTAGGGAGAACAGTATATTGATACAAAGTGAGCACCTTAATTTCAGTAAGACTTCAGAAAATAGGGAGTTTTCAGTTGCAAAATCCTCACAGAGTCCAAAAAGCTCAACTGAGGACTTAGGCAATAGGCAAAATTTGCCAATGTCTATGTTTATGGACATTTTAAAGAATCCACCCTCCTCCTCCTCCTCCTCCTCATCTCTTCTCTGTGTTAGTAGCACCTGGAATCTCTTTAATAAGAAATAGAGCCCTTTGGTCTATGCTATGACCAAAAATGACAAAACTGAAACCCTTGAGAAAGACAGCATTTTCATTTGTCTTTTCACTGTGGCATAAAGCCAGGAGATAATTTTCTAAGAGTGGGCTCCATCGGCGAGGAGAACGCAGGAGGGCTGAACAGTGGAAGAAAGTGAACGAGAAAGGGCATGGAAAGGCCAGGATGAAAGCAACGAAAGCAAGTTTTTACTTCTTGATTTGCCTGGTCCCATCATTTCATGTAAAAGGAAGGCATATACAGGGGTAGGCAAAAGCAGGCTAATGATAATAATAAAGAATGCAATAATTACTAAACACAGAATACAAGAGTAAACTGTGTTTCATGCACTCACAGCTGTAAACTGACTTTTGCCCACCCCTGTACTGGTTTTCGTGGACTAAAAGGCAATCTAGGCAGGCTTCCCAATCTATGACAAAGTCAGAAAGACATATCTCAACATGTGGTACTGAAACCACCTGTATTTATTTTCATTATTACTTTATTATTATTTTTATTTAACAAGCACAAAAACTGTTGGCCATACCTCACTTCTATGAACTCATCTAATCCTCATAACAACTCCGTGGCATAGGTTCCATTCATTTTCTTCATTCAACAGACAGAGAAAATGGGGACTGGGACCTAGGCGGTCGAACTCCAGCGGCTGTGTGTTCAATGCCCACATCACACTACCTGTCAAGCTTCTGAGTTGCAGTCAACTGAGGAAACATTTCTTGGTGCCCCTCAAGATGTTTGATACAAATCTTGGAGTAAACTTGCCAGTTTTAAGAAACTACTTGGGTGATGCTTTTGTATACCTAAGGTTGAGAACCACCACTAATTCCAGGGCTAAATATAGTGTCTGTTACTGTGAAGACCCTGAATTTTTCTAGCTGGGTGACCTCGAGTAAACCACATATGGTAATTTCTCTCTTCACATATACATGAAGGAACACAGACTTGTTAGTAAGAAAAATAAAACTTGTCTCAAACTTCAGAAAACTGGCACTTTTTTCCATATGGTATTTATTATTAATGTTTCTGAGAATCTTCTCAAATCTGCTTGAAGAAAAAGCAGGACTGCATTAGGTATTACTACTGATCAGCCTTTATCTGACACTGTCAGGGAATGGAGCATTTCCCTGGTTTGTCTGCCAGTGAAAGACATACCACTTATTATTTTTGATTAGGTATCTATGCCTGGCATCTCTGGGAGATGGTTCTCCATGGTCCTGACGTAAATTTAATTCCATGCAACTGATAAAAACAAAAATGTTTTTACAGCTCCACCTGTGAACTAAACCATTAGCTGGTATGTAGCTATGTCTGCTTATGTAAACATTCATGTTCTTGATGAACTAGCCTTCTTCCTTTTAAGCCTCCTTTGAGACGGGGCATTCTTTTATGTCCTCAATAATTCCCTCCTTAAAGAGATTAAATACATATTTGACACTAGCTAAAGATTAGTTTGTGTGCATTTTTATAATAAAATGGAAAATACTTCGTGAAACTTTATACAAAACAACTTGCTATTATTATCATTTAACTTAATCTGGATTTCAATTTTTCACCTATAAAATAAAGGGATCTGTGGTTACCTGGTGAACTGTTATTACATAATATTTGAAGAAATCACATGGTTGAGATTAACTGAGCTGTACAAGAAACTGGACAGCTCTGTTTATTGGTGGTAGTTAGTTATTAATGCTTAGAGTAGGACTCCACATGCCTCCCAGGGAGCAACATACTTCGTCTCGCACCCTCTAAATCTCCTTATGACTAAAAAGCATGTACCTGACTTAATCACAGACTATAGAAAGACTAAATAAATCAGATAATCTCCTCCTACTAGATGCTTCTGTTTCTATCTGCCTCCTGGAGTCTGAGTCCATTGTACAGCTGAGATCAATTTGGTTCTTCTCATATAAACTGACTTCCTGGGCCCCTCATATTTTTGTCTAATGTGAAGTATCTACCTAACACTTCCAAGCCAGCCTGTCTTGATTCAATTTAAATTGATGCAGTATACTTTAAGAAACAGTGCCATATAATAAAGCTATTGTAAAAGCAAGCATTCCAGGGATAAAGGAGACTCTTTAGGAAAAGAAATCTATGAATGGAAAGAGATAAGAATCCGTGGCAAGGGGTAAAGGTAGAAGGGTTCTTCCAGAAAAATCTCAAAGCTAGAATTTTAAAAAGAAAGAAGACTCTTATGAGGAAGGAAAACTTAAATCTACCAAAAGTGTGCTTAATTAAATCAGATATCTCAAGAGTTCAATGGAGGATAGGGTAAGGATGACAGAAACAAAGGACTTCTGGTGTACGACATTATGAAATGATGTTATAGATACACATATCAATATGCCAATTTTGTGCCTAGTGGTTTTCCTAAAAAGAGTTAAGATTAATTAAAGGAGCTTCCAACCCCATACCTGAAAAATTGGCTGCTTTCTTCAGAGCTTCTTGGAGATTCAGATTCTGCTGTTGAAGCTCCATTTGTCTTTTGGATTTCTCATCCAGCTTCTGGGCAAGGGTTTCGATCATTTCCTTGAGTTCCTTCTGTGATTCACGGAAAGCTTGTTCCTCCTGCTTCTGGGCTGACATCTGTCCCTCCAGTATATTTTCCTGATGAGTAAGGTTTGTTTGCTGTTGCTTTAGAAGATCAGACACCTGGGATACTAAATTACAGTTGAATTAAGACTTCATTTCCAATTCCCAACAAAAGTCTCTCCACTAGATTTTTAAGAAATCAAAGAACTAAATCAAGTAATCTATAAACCGCTGGCAAATGACCCAAATTTACTTAAAAATTGTGGACTTGAAAGTTTTTTTATATTCCTGTAATAGTGTTTTATTAGATCAAAAACTATCACAGACACTTGTGATTTCACAAAATTATCAAGGTTTTACTTGTTATTTTGAGTTACACACATGTAAAAAGTTATCTCATGATAAGTATCAGTGGCACAAATAAAATATAGACAATCTGCAGATAGTCACCAACCAGAATTAGTGACTATCAGCAGGAATGTCATTCATCGTTTACTATATTTATGTCTTCCTTCCTCTGTTGTCTGTTTTTACTTTCAGACTTCCTAATTTTATTTAAGAACTATAATACTCATCCCTTTTTTGAGACACTGTCCCACATAATTATTTCAAGTGGCTGTGTCACAAGAGTCTCAAACACCCCCTCCCCCCCAGTACATTTTAGGAAGGGTGGAGCTAAAATAAAGGCTGGGAAATCAAGCAGGCAACAAGTGTTAAGGGTCAAACACCTCAGTTCTAGAAGCTTAACGGTTCAGTACAAAGCAGTCTCCTCGCCTTGAAGGCCAGGCTTGAGCTTGTGAGGATCAGAGCCTCCAAGTAAGACTCTTCCAGTCACCAGCACTCATCAAGGGCACTCCTCCCATCATTAGGAAAGGCCTTAGTGTTTAATCGATTGAAAAAACAAGTGATTTGTGATCTTAAACAACAACTGAAAAACAAATAGCAATTTACAGGCCTTAATAACCGGGGTCTAAATAGCCGAACAACTCAGATCTACAATCTAAATACAAAGGCAGATTAGATGCATAACCAGTATTATTTTCTTTCCTTCTTGGCCACTCTCATTCTTCTTTCACTTCTTTTCCTCTCAACAACCTCTTTTCAGAATGTTCAAAATTTGAAGGTTTTTTCAATGTTTTATGTATTAAAACTCTGCTTCCAGTTCTTAACTTTAAATTGGTATTTAATCATCTCTATTAAAACTCAACATGAGCTAGCCTGGCCTGCATGCGCAGTGGTTGAGCATCAACCTATGACCCAGGAAGCCGTGGTTCAATTCTCAGTCAGGGCCCAGGCCCAGGTTTCAGGTGTGATCCCCAGTCGGGGGCATGCAGGAGGCAGCCGATCAATGACTCTCATCATTGATGTCTCTCTCTCTCTCTCTCTCCCTCTCCCTTCCTCTCTCTGAAATCAATAAAAATATTTTAAAAAACAAAAACTCAAAATGAAATAAATGAGGTTTCTTTTACTTTTGGGTCTCTCAGATAACCTTGTGGATAATTAACTTCAAATTATTCTCTTTTTCATTGTTTTGGGATTTACAGTAGGCTCTATCCATAAAGTTATGAAAACTAACCAAAACAAAAACCTACAGTTCATAATCTTCGTTTCATGCCAAAATCAATTTGAGAGACTAGCACAAATATACCCATTCATCTTCCTACTCATTCTAAAAACAGTTTGCCTAAAATGTATCTAAATCAAGGTTTCTTGTAGGTAGTCTGAAACCAATATACAAACCATGTTTATAAACTCTCATTTTTTCCCCTCCATCACTTCCCTGTCTCAGCACTTACATTGCTTTGTCAGCATTATGATGGTCACCAGTAAGCCCAGACAAAGGATCCCTAGAGTCACGGCCACAGGGCACCACCAGCGAGAAAAAAGACAATGAAGACCTAGAGTGACAGGGGATAGAATCAGAGAGACAAAAAAAGATGGAGGCGAGTAATCAAACCATTCTTTGGATCTTGTCTGTACATGGTACTTTGTATTACTTACTTTTAGCCCTCCCAAGGACTCTGCAAATAATTCATTTTCCATATTTACAGATGAAAAATCTGAACAACTAAAGAATTTAAGTAATTTACACTGTCACATAAATGACACAACTGAAGATCCAGAATTCAATACCAGGTATTTTTTACTCTTAAGTATCTGATTCTAAAGCTTATAATTTTGTCTGTTGCCTCTAACAATGACTCTTCAAGAAATTCTCAGACCAGCTTGGATGAATCAACTTCACCCGAGGGGGGGAGAGTCTGATGGTTTTAACACAGACCAAGTCTATGCATGCATATGCATGCATACACACACACACACACACACACACACACGGTGTGTTTTATAAGTAACATACGACAAATGAATGTCTGATGTCAAGCAAATAAGCTTTAGTCAGTTAATTAACTGATATCTCGAAGAATTTACAACATAATTTTGTGCTCTTCAACCCTTATTTCATTAAAATTACATCTTAGAACTGAGATTATTGAGCAAAGAAAACTAGAATTGAAAAGTCAACATTCACTTACTCATATTAATGTCATGTTCTATACTTACACCAGCTGTGGTCCTGGTGTTATAAGAAAAAAATGCACTTAATATAGAAGCAAAATCACGTAACTCACATGTGTGTGTATGACTAATTATGTGCTCTATCACTAAAAAAACACAGGTATTTTGGTTCAGCGGGAGAACATCTTCTATAATGTATTTGGGCTCCTCATCTTGTGAGATAAATAAATAAGGCACTGATAATGTAATCCTGTACATGCAAATAAGGAAAATGACTTGCTAAGATCACACGGACATTAAGATCCCAACATAGGTCTTTAATTCGATTGTCAGTAGCTACATGGCTTGAAACATTACATCACAAAATATCCAGTGCAAACCTGTAGTGATATAAATCAATCAATGTTCAAATATATTCACAGAGTTTTCATGTGTCAAAAGCATTTGTGTTTGGCTCTATGATGATGCAAACAAAACAGAAACATGACAGGAAGAAATATGGTTCATTTACTAATTCAAAGTTATTAAGCTCCTAGAGTGTGTGTGGCAAGTTAGTGGGGAAGAAGCAGACGACGGTTGTGTCTTATGCAAATCATTGCCTAATCCTGCCCACAGACACTATCTGTGAAAATCCTTCAACCAACATTTTCCTTCGTCAGTGTCTATCCTATAAAGGTATACACTATAGGTGATCAAATATGTTCAACATTCTCGAGTGATGAAACCCATGCATTTTTAGAAGTCGCGGGATCCACACCAGCGCAGGGAAGGCACACGTTCCCATTTCCTACCATCCACCCTTTGTCCTGTCTCCTTGGTAGGTAGACACCATTCATCCCTACTCCCACTAGTAATTTTCTAATCAGAAAGCTATCAGGTCTTGTGCAGCAGGTGACTGATCTAAACAGGTTCTAAGAAAAGAATTTACTTCATAACTGTAGTAATAGTCAGGCACTCAGCATTTACCACATGAAGAATGAATGAATGAATGAAAATGAATGAATGAATGAGCAAATGACAGTTACCTTGTAGGTTTACCTATAAATGCCAGTTCTGTTTTCATATCAAGTTAAGTTCATCAGCTCAAATGTTAAATTATTCCATGTTCACACTTATATTTGCTACTGAGAGAAATTTATACTTTGTTTGTGAACACACGACCTGGAATTTCTTATCCGAATTTGTATGGCTTCATTTGTATGAATTCCCTTCTTTATATTTTGTTCCTTTCTTTCAGAATGGATATAAGACACAAGGCAGTTTATCTAGATTGTCTGTGGATTTAAGATTATGTATTTTTACTTAAGCAGTTTCACTTACTGTGTATATCAAACAAATTATAACTTTTCAAAGCGGTGGTATACAATAAAACATAATTTATGCTAAACCACACTGAATATTATTTTATCCGCTTTGGACATTTTATGAAATACATCCAGTTTTTGCAATGCCTCAAGGACTATTATAAAAATTATCATTGTATACACTAGGCGAATTCAACATTTTCTGAACCATTTGATGGGTTGGACTCTGGATAAATGGGAGACTGTAACACAAAACTAGCTCTACCATTTACTGGCTGCTTATAAATGGGTAATTCAGTAGAACCTGCTCCCCAGCTAGTCCTCTGTAAAACAAAGATAATAATAGTCCTAATCTCAGGGAGTGAAGATTCGGAGAAATAATGCATTTAAAGTGAATAGCATAGAACATAGTAAATGTTCAATAAAAGTTACTACCATTGTCAGCTACATCATCATGAAAACCAAGTTAGTTCATTCATCATCATCATCTCCATTGTATCCAACCTGCTTTTCTTTTAAGTAAATGTTTTTAATTCTATAGTCAAGTGTTTTAGCTCTTTAATCTTATTTCAGTTCATTTAAATTTTCAAGCTAATCCTGGAAATCCCTGTACACATTCACCCACTCCTTACCTTTAGCTTTCTCTTCATTTGTGTTCTGATCAGGCTGATCCTTCATACTCTTGCTCTTGAGGTTATCAAAAGTCATGTCCAAATTCATTCCAAGAATGAGAAAGTGAAGCAGTCGAGGACTTCTACAAAGTAAAAATGTGTGAGCGCTTGCTGGAGTGTTTAAATAGCTACTGCTATCTTACAGAATGACTCAATCACTGGCAGGAGGAAGGAGAGGCTTTGCTTCATGTTTACTGACGCAAATTCTTGGGTTATTTCTATTGCAGGCAGAGAAAGTGGTGATTCTGACAGTATTTCAGGATATTTCACTAAGTAATTTATGAAAGGAAAAATTATACTTTCCATGAGCATTAGAGGTGAGGAATTTGTACTCACTCTTCAGATAAGGAAAGAGAAACTCAAATTAGCAAGACACACTAAATTTGTGGGAAAGTGTGCATTTAGACCAGTCGTTGGGATTCCAAAGTCCACATTTGCTATTTATTTTACTGTAGCAGACTACTTCTATATTGTGTCTTTTATAAGTCCCATGTTTCCCTTTTTAATTTTGACTGTCTTAATTGGCAGTCAACTTAGGAATTCTGGGGTTAATCACATATGACTCTTATCTTCAGCTGTGATGACCTGGGTAACTTTAGAACTTAATTATACTCTTCATATAGTGACAGTATAGCATAGTAGCAGAGAAAACTTTGGAGCCAGATGGAGCTAGCTTCAAATATTTCTTTTGCTAATCCTTTGATCTATAATCTTGGGGAATTACTTAACAATCTGAACCTATGCCTTTGTCTATAAATTGAGACATGTTATTGGATTCAAATGGGATATTGGGTGAAAATGCTAAGCTTTGTACTTCAAGCATGATGAGAACTCAATAAATAATAGTTATTAATATTACTAAGAGTAATATTCAGCACAGTTGAATTGCGTGTCAAAGAATTTTGTTTTATACATGATTGACTTGAGTCCCAAAGACTCTTCAATGGACTCCCAGTAAGGATGCCTATATGCGTTTACTGATAGAATTCTTACCTATTTTCCCTTTACAACTTCTTAACCATAAAAGAAATATCTCCTTACAGTTATATATGCTTTTTAAAAAATCCTTATCTATTAGAGAAATCTTCGGGCATATATATGGGAAAAGTGATAGGGTATCTGGGATTTACTTTAAACTATGCCAGGAAAAATAAAAATAAAGGGAAGGGGGCACATAAAAGAACACTGAAGACAAGTATATAAATAAATATAATATCTAGGAGACTATTAAGAAAAATCACCAATATCAACAGTCTAATTAGGATTCCATTTGCCTCCTCCCTGGGCTTTTTGATTCCTGTTTCCTGTGCAGAGTATCTGAGACCAAATCGAAGGCAGTTATCTGCCATTTAAAGTTTTACTGTATGACTGAGTTCACACACACACACACACACACACACACAGGCTCTGAACGTACCGAACCTATTCCAGTTAAATCAGCTTGTGACAAATCAGCGCTAGTTACCNGGCTCTGAACGTACCAAACCTATTCCAGTTAAATCAGCTTGTGACAAATCAGCGCTAGTTACCTTTCTCACTCCAGCCCCATCCCGCCCCCCTGACTGGGAGTGCCAGGAAGCAAGATCAGATCCAGCTTGGCGTTCACCCTGGCGAGTTTCCCATAAATAGCCTCAGGAAATTTGTTTTTGTCTTTTTTAACCTTCACCTGAGGATGTTTTTCCCAGTGCTTTTCGGAGAGAGTGGAAGGGGGGGTCAGAGAGAGAGAGAGAGGGAGAGAGAAACATTGATGTGAAAGAGACATCAGCTGGTTGCCTCCTACTCGCAGCCCAGCCAGGGCCTGGGATGGAGCCTGCAACCCAGGTACCTGCCCTTGGCCGCATTGGAACCCAGGACCCTTCAGTCCCAGGGCCGACACTCTAACCACTGAGCCAAACTGGCCAGGACAAACACAGTGTTTTCTTTAACTGACAAGCCCTTTCAAAGTAAGGACATATCCCTTTCTATTAACAGAATTAATTCTTTCCTACTGCACTGGCACAGCACATACATTGTGTAATATTCTGCAGAGAGCAGCCAGCTCATACGCGAGATCCTTAACGGGAAACACACAGCACGCGCTGGGTTTTCATTTGGCAAACACCTATCTCCCGTCTTTGACTTGGAGGAAGCGGAGCTGCGGCGCAAACAGTGTGAGTGGTTTGCTGAGTATCTCCTTCCTACCACGTGCAAGACAAGCACTCGGCTCACAGTTTTTTTCAGTTTTGCCGGCTGATGAAAAGCACAAGTGGCTGCTGAGACATTATAGATTCAGTGTGAACACCTCTTGAAATAATTCCATAAGAGACTCCAGGCGGCCAAGGCAGGGAAGGCTTGAAAATACAGCGGGAGTGGAGAGAGGCCAGGCCCACCCGGGCCTTGCGCCTCCCCGCGGGGCCAGGCTGGCAGCGCAGCCCACTCGGGCACATCCACCCGCAGTCACCGAGGCCCCGCCGAGGAGGTGGCTTACCCCAAGGACGGGCAGAAAGCCCCTGGAGACCCGTAGGAAGGGCGAGGCCGGGAGAGGGGCCGACCCGGCCCCGGGGGCGGCTGAGGGTGCGGAGGGGGCTCGGG